CGCTCGCCAATCCGACCTCGGCTGCACGTACTATCGCTGATTTATGAGAGTTGCTTCCTTCGTGCTGCCGAAACTACCGAGCGCGCGCAAGACAACACCCACGTACAGCTTCGACACGCTCAGCGTCTGCATGTATACTTCATTCGCTCGACTACTGCGCAGCACAAAGATCTCCAGGCGCGCGGCTAACTGCGCAGATTTTTTTTCTTACTTTTTTCTAAAAAGAGGCTTTCTCCTTTTCTCTCTCTCTCTCTCTCTCTCTTTCTCTTTCGGCGCAGAGATGACGGGTGCGCGCTTATTTACTGAGCGCGCGCTATGACGATTATCGAGTGTACTTCTGGGCCCCGCGCGCCGCCTGTCGTTCGGTCGATCGCGGGCACACGACGCGCAGGCTCGCGGCCGTACCTCGACGCCTTCCGAGCGCGCGCTAATTGGACTCGCCGAGCGCGAAACTTTTAGTCGCGGCGGCTCGTATCAGCGGGGCCCGCGACCGCGACCGTGGGGCGTTTGACGCTCCCCCCCTTGCGCGACGCTGCCGCGCTCTTCCATCTTCGTCGCTCGTCGAAAATTGGAACGCGCGGCGGAGAACCGACGGACAAGTCGCTGATTCGCCGAGCGGATGTCGCTCGAACAGAAAAATGTATATATTTATTAAGGGGCGTTGGTTTTATGGGAAGCAGAGGTATTATCATCGGTAGGAGAGAGATAGACAGAGAGAGAGAGAGAGAGAGAGAGAGAGAGAGACTAAGTGGAGGGAAGATGATAGGAGGTCATCAAAGTCAGAATTGAATGTAATTGAGGTCGAAGGTGCGTTGCAGGCCTCAGAAGCAGCGCGCGTGCGGTGGCGCGTACTCGCAGGCCTTTCGGAAATCGCCAATACATCGCCGGCGATGAAAAAGTTTCCGCGAACGGCTTCCGTCGGCGCATTATCGGTCGCGCGCCCAGAGAGGAGTTATTTCCGCGGCGGCTTTAGAAAGCGCGGAAATCACGGAGACAGAAGTGCCGAGGATTAGCGGTCGTCTTTCTCTTTTTCATTTCGTCGAAAAGTTCTGTTTACCAGCCATTTGTCGTACGCTCGTCACTGGAATAGTCGTCGACGCGCGCCGATCTTTGCGTTCCTCCAGCGATCGTTCGGCTGGGATAATTTCGGCAATTCAAATACGTATCGGGAATTTCGTAATTCTTTGTCGATATTTTTAAGGATCGCGAAGCTCATCCCGCATCGGTTGTCACGTGAACAATCCGGGAGAAGCGCGATATTTGAGATGAATTGTACGCTATTTCAGTACAATGGTGTTTTTTTCTCTTCCCCGAGGTGGCAATTTGTTATAGTATCCACTTAAATCCGCGCATTCTAAAGTCGCGCAACAAACTAATGCACTCGCAGTACATTATTTTTAGGCACAAGAGCCAAATCAGATAAGCAAACTTTCTCTCGCGGCGATGTGTTTTTGTACGCGCGCGCGATTACAGCTCGCATTCTAGAAGATCTTTGCAAACGCGAAGCTATTATTTTTAAATGCAATCGCTGGCGAACGAAAATCAAATCAAGAGACAGAAACGGCTATTTGCACGAGAGAGAAATGCCGGACACGCGCGTCAACAAAATTGCAGTATCCGTGGACATGAGTGAAAATTGCATAATGAATTCCACTTTAGATTTTCCGCTTAGTCTCAATGATTTATCGAAATAGGTCTTTTACCTGGCGCGATAAATAATTCATAGTAGTGCGTATATAAAAAAAATGAACTTTCGACGTCATAATAGTGTTTCGATAAAACGTTTTTTATGCGCCGTACGCTACTATATGTATTTACGATATAATCAAGCAATCGATCGTCGACGTTCGAGTTTCCCGATAACCAGCCTCGCCAATGTTAAAACCAAAAAATATACATGCCAGAAGAGCGGAGAATACTGGTTTGCTCGTGTGCACTTTGGCTCATCTCGCGCAATTACCATGCTGACCTTTAAAACTTTAAACGTGCACGCCTCTCTCTTCCCTCGTGCGATACGCTTATTTTTTTCGCCGCTCTTTGCCGTCCATCTCTCTTTCTCTCTCGTGTTTACTCTAATGACCATTTTCTCCCGCTAAGCAGCACGAACATTTTTATTTCTTCCTCACAACTACGCGGCACTTTTCGCGCTGACACGTGCTTATGACTCACGTAAGCATTGTATATATTTCGTACGTTTCTTTTTTTATTTTTCATCGTACAAAAGAATTTGGAAAAAAAAATGTTTTATCAATCAAACGTCGACAGACTCGTTAGCTTGGCAGGTCCCCCCGACCTCCCTCATTTTTTTTATGCCATTTCAGTCCATTGTACAACGTTGCTCTTTGTTCCATGGGCTTTTAACAGAGACTTGCAAAAAAAAAAAAAAAACACTCATATTTTACATCGCAGCGCGCACGCAACTTTTATGCCCCCTTCGATTTTCATTACGCCGCGACGGCGAGTTGCGAAACTTGAACATATTTTTAGAAATCCGCCGCAGCCGTGCCCGAAATACACATCGATATCGGGGTAGGAAGCTCGGACGGCGAAGGCGCAGGATTATCGAATGTACGGAACTCGAGGCGTCCTCCGCGCGGCTAAGTCGGGCGGCGTCGTCGCATCGTCCGGCAGAAAAGGAAATAACGGAGAAAAGAAACACGAGCTCCGATTAGGCACGCTTGCGCACGGCTGAAAATCAATGCAGCTGATTTTCGTGAACGAGCGCGTGCAGCCGAGCCGCCACCGGCCCGCTGAAAATCGCTCGAGTGCGCTTCGGCTCGCGAGTACTCGGCTTGCCAGATGGCGGCGTCTCTCGCCAATGCGCATGCGTGACTTTTTGCGAGAGATACGCACACTAACGGGCGGGGGTGGGAGGCAGGACTCTTCTGCGCGTGCGTCTCGGCAGCGCTCGTAATTCGCTCGTCGATACTGTACCCCGACGACCTCTAATTCGAGCTTCTTAATCCTTTGAAGGGAAATGCGGGGCTCGCTAAAAAGAGGAACGTCGTCGTAAGAATGCCGCGCAATAGGAGCGAAATGGTTCTCGACAGGCATTTTATCAGGATTCCGCTCTGGTGAACGCTGCACCTGAACCGATATTAATTACCGTCCAGTGTTCATCCCATGCGCGTGGTATTACTTAATGACGACTGTCAAATTTAACTGTACTTGAAATTCCCTCCGGCGTTTGCGCCACAGCCAGACACATTCCCTTTGAGCAGGATTGTAGAACTGGGAGCGGGTCGACAGGAAGCATTTTAAATGTCATAAATATTTGATACGTGTTTGTAAGCCATTATCCAGGAGACGGGTGTTCGGTAAATGTTGGACGTCGCGAGGAAATGTTATTATTCGATTATCAAAGATTACTCCGCAAATTTTAAGCGAAACAAAGCTCGCTCGGAAAACAGAGCTAACGCGTCTGTAAATTGTTCAGCGATTAAAGTCCATCGAAACTCGTAAAAGACTGCCCAACCCCGACCGGGCACCAATAACATTTTTTTTGCCAATGCCCAAACGTTTATTCGAACAACCGACGACGATTCAAATCACTCGCGTGAGAGAAAAAAAATAGGAATATCTCGCTTATGAAGCCAAGCTGTGAGTGGATTCTCGTTTTTCGAGAAAAGAAAAAAAAAAAAAGCGAAGCCTTTGCAACCCTCCGCGCGCGCACAGTTCACACGAGCGGATGTACGATTTTCACCCTCGGCGTCGCATCGACCCTGTACGCTCGCTTAGAGCGAAGTTTGCACGATGTCTATCGTTTCACACAATTTTCGGTTTTACTTCTTCCTTTCGACGCTATCAACAATATTTTAATAATTTCTCCGAACGTAGCACCAAAAGCTTATCTTTTCACGAAGCAATGAGAAATAAAACGACAACGAATATATTATTCGTTAGTAATCGTCTAAACTTTTATCGCAGTTGCGATAGTCGATATCGATTAACGGAATATTAATTATCTGATAAATCCGTGATAATAAGCAGAAGTAAACATTAGCTCTTGTCACGTTAACGTTAAGTAACAGGAAAGGAAAAACAACGACGTGCTTGTTCGAAAAAATAAGCTCGGCTATATCGGGCACATAAGTGTCGTCGAATCCATTTCCAAAATTAAACCGATGACAAATTAGTTTCTTCGCAATCCACTAAACTCAGCGTCCAAATCAAGGCGTCATACGCGACAATAAATCATTCTTATATGTGAAAATTCAACGAAACGGAATAAATCCTTGAAGGCGCATGTAACTGTGGGTGTGAAGAGAATAAAAGGGAATAAACAAAGCTATTGAGGAGTCGCGCGCGTCATCGAGGCGCCGCTGGCTCGCGAGCAAGTAAAGGTCGGTTTGTATCCTGGTGCGCTGGACGTAAAAGGGGCGTTAGCCTCCGGCGAGTCGCAAGGGACAGTAGGGAACTAGGGTTGAGTTTCCACTCGATTACTCGAAAAACATCGATGCTTACAGGCCAGTGGCCAACTCGCGTGTACGCGTGGCGAAACGGGGGGGGGGGGGCTGGATATCGCACGCAGCCGCGGTTCGCAACACTCTCCCGACCTCAAACTCAATCAGCGATCAACGCGCACGGCTTATTTATAGAAATTTAACACGCTAGGCACAGCAAATACATTGGACGATGATCTTCGCCGAGTCGCATCGAATTAATTAGGTTTAGGTGATCATCATTGAACGTCAAATTGAGTGCGTGGTTTTTGTGTGCGGTTCCACGTTTGTAAAAATAGCTTCGATGGAGACGTGACTCGATACTTGCGTTTCACGTAAATCACTTGTTTTGACCAAATTTCACATTTTCTCTGACAATGTATGCATTGTAAGATAAATGACTTGAGATTACTTGCTTTAATTATGTCCAAATCTTTAAGTTGAATATAAATGTTCAATAAGTCAAGTAATAAAATTTGAGGATTGAAATTTTTTAATTGAAAACTTCAATGTTCATGCAGCTAATGACAATGAAAAATAATTTAAGTAACTGACCGATGGGCAAAGAACAATAATCAACAAGAAATAAGGCTAGCAGATTGATCGCGTAATCTTAATTTATATAGATTGTAATATACATAAATAAATTACCTACAAGAATATTTTCAATCAGTTAATGAGTCCATGTGTGTCCTGAGATGAGTTTTAAATTGCGTTTTGCATTTAGATCATAACAATGTTGACGTTTTACCGTTTCTCATTTATACAATATTTTAAATACTTTTCCACGCTGCCACAGGTGCACGCATTCATTCGTTTACACGTCACTATATACATATATTTTTACATGTATCACTTAGACGAGCACTTAAAGGAACACTTTCATTAATTCGCGATCGTTTTCATTACTGTCTTTTTACTTTTTTTCATTGATAAATGATTAAACACTATAAAAGCATCTCGAAAACTTAATATAATTTTCTTCGTGTCTTTCAGTTATCTATAAGTTAAGTCACAGTTACACTATGCAATTAAAAAAATTATGAACAACGCAGCGATCGAAATCGTCTTTGATCATGAATGTATAAATTGGAACCGCAATTTTCTTTTGCTTCTTAAAATCACTTTCTTGTCTTTTTGTTAAATAAATAAAGCAAAATAATGTATGTACTAGTTGTAACATATCCTTAGGCAGTTTTGGCCCGAATTGCAGCACGTTTGCTTGTGACTGCCTGAAAAGGAAAAGAAATAACAACGTTGACTTCAATTATAATTGTTTTAGTATAAAGCAGTTATAATAAACGTGTGCGAAACGATACCAACCTGGAAACCAGATTTAATACTGGCGACAGAACATCTTGACCTACATGTTTCACATTGTAGGAAGAACAACCTTGTGTCCTTCTGCAAAATAGTATCGGGAGAGCGACATGTATGACACGTAACATACTCCTTGATATATCTTCTCAGGACGTTCTCAATCTGTTTTTGTTGAAATCTACCCTTGATGATGAGCTGACTGTTACCGTCTACGGAACCACTTGTACCCAACTCGGCCAGTAAGAAGTCAAGCAAATGTTTCGGTTGTCTGTGAAGCGTTTTGCAAATCTATAGGGAAAAGAAATAAGTGAAGATTTTGTAAAATGATATATCGACAAATGGTAAAAAGGGAAATATTACCTCGGTAAAGTTGGAGAAAGAAGTCTTTTTGGTTCCGATTCGAACGACTTGAGGAGGTCTCATCACAAACTTTTGTTTTTTGCCAGCAACCATATCAGGATTCTTCTCCTTCATGATATTAAATACTCTGTCAAGTAGTTCATCATATGTATAATCTCTATCAGAGCCAACCCACTGACTAGATTCCTCTGTGGAACAGTAATCATTCGTTAATGTATTATTCTGAGATAAACGTAAATAAAGAAAACATCAATCTAATCTAAACATATACCAATAATTTTTGTACACTAAGCTAATTTTTTATTTACTGATATTCTGTCCAAAGATGCAAATTACTACAAGTATTATTACAAAATTATATTTGATATCTACTTTTGAATTTTGTAACAAAGACAAAAAACTACGTGCATTATTAAGATAAGAAACTTAATAAATTGATAATACTCATAATGTACTAATTTTTCAATGTGCAAATGCATAATATATCTTTCTGTTCTTTGTTTTCTTACCATAAACTACACTTCTTTGAGACTCAGTGCAGCATGTTAACAGATGACGCGAATAGTCAGCATTTAGGCGCTCGCATTTTATGATTAAAAGTCCATATATAATTATATAGGTAGTTACCATTTTCATTCGCTTCAGTTTCCTTCCTTTCTTCTGACATCAGCTCATCAAGATCCTTTTTTTTTTTCTTTTTCTTTTTTAGTCCCATTGTAAAGTCAAGAGTTAAGTTTAAGTCTTCAACTTGTGGTTCTTCAGTCTGTGACTCTGTTACTTCCTAATGATTTAGATGGATTATTATTACGAATAATAATAATAATTATTATTATCTAATAATTATTAGAATAAATTATTTGTGTTTGTTTAAATTTAATAGATTTATCATGACAGTTTTTGAAGTTTTCGAAAAAGGAATCGTTCTTATTACGTACTAGAATTTTATCAGGAAGGACTGCATCAAGTTCTTCTAAAATGAACTTTTTCTTCTTTTTCTTCTTTTTTCCAAAATTTTCTAAATCTAAAGCTTCATCATCATCAGCAGGAGTTGCATCAACTTCTATGTTTTCCTTATCATTGTCTGCAGTTTCATTTGTAGTATGACTGCCTTCTGCAATAGCTGCATCTAAATCAAACCCACTCTTCTTTTTTTTCTTTTTTATCAATTTAGGATCAAACATCTGAAAATGGGACAATTCAATGTAACACTTTGTCAAAAGATTAATAAAATAGATTTCCCATATAAAAAAATGTAACTTGAATTATGTATTATTATGAAATTATAAATAACTATGTAATAAAAATTAAACAACTTCCACAATTTCAATATTATTTTAAGAATTATTTTTATAAGTTATTACTAAAAGTCAAATATTTTACTTCAAAATCATATAACATTGTTCCAGACTATCAGATTGAAGCATCAACTCAAAACTTGAGAAATCAAATAGAATAAATCAAGAACTGGCATACATTACAGAGAAAAATTAAGCATCCTGTCACGAACAAAATATAACTGTGTAATAGAAAGTTAGAAATGATTTGCAAGCATTGGCGCAGCGTGGGCGTGTTCGAAAGAGAAAATAATATAACCCGGTTGCTCGCTCCGTATGTGGAAGGTCGTAATGTTTAGAGGTTGGGTTTTCAAAACGCTCGAATTTTTGTTATTGCAGACGTGCGAGGCAAGTAGAAGATTGGGAAAGTTTGCGAAAGTACAGAGCTCATTCTTTTTTTTAGAAAGCAATCGTTGCAAGGGCGATTAAGCATACACGTGTATATGTACACATGGTGTCGTGCTTATCGTGTCCATGTTTACAAGCTGCCAAATAGGTGTTGTCTAAATTTGAGGCGGAAAATAAAACAATTACTACCACTCACCGACTCATCTTCCGTCATTTTGCTAATATTCATTCATCAATACGCGATCGAAATGATCTAAAACACTAATAACCACTGTTACTATCAGTATATTGTCATGCGGAGCCAGATCACGTCACTCGGTCAAATGTCAGCCAGGTGGTGGTAGGCTTCTTACGTTCCAGATGGCACCAATGTGGCCTTTATCATGAGTTGAGCTTTGGCGCGTGATTTGACTTGGCTCTGTTCAACATCGACATAGCCTTGGTTGATTCTTTGGCTTGTGTTTGGGTAATCGGATTGGTTCTGTTTTTGGAATTCTGTCTTGACAACCCTTCACATCCACTAAAAAGCAAACTCCAACTGAGGGAGTATTAGAAGGAGAGGGAAAGTAGTTTTATTATCATTGAGTTATATTCTACTGTTATTAAGTAGCTTGTCAGCGATTTGAGAGTTTTTGTGCATCAAGAAATGAAAAAAGAATGGGCGGGCGAGTCACTGTTCCGGTCAAGACTGGTGAGAGCGAATCCATAACGGCGGAGTGCTGCGCATAATAAAAGACATGTTCCAGCGAGTGCGTTTGGTTGTCATATGACGAAGCTTGTGGCTAGCCTCGTTGTTTTTCTTTAGGACATCGTTCGCGTGCATACCGGTGATCGATCGCAAATTTTGCGCGCCAATTTTTCTATCGTCTTTATTGACGAGCTTCAAGTCATCTTGAGCTGGAACTGATTAGGTTTATCATCGAGGCAAGCAACTTTAATTTTCGAGTTAGACGTACTTCGGTTAATGCGTGCTCTTATTTTTGGTTAAGCCTCGGCTTATTGCAATTATATGACGATGGGGCAGAGGAGGTGATTACTTTCATTTCGCGCATTTTAAAAGGTTCGGGATTACTTAATTTTTTCACGACAGAGATGGAACTTTTGTTAATTATTGGTCTCGTTTAATAGTTATATTCGATACTAGTGAAGAAAGTAATTTCAGCCTTGGGCGGACGTTTGCGCCCGAGCGAAGCGAGGATGAAGAGGCCACACGAGGCTGAAATTACTTTCTCGCACATGTGTCGAAACGTCTGCTCCTCTGATGAGAATGATGAATAGTATAGCTGTATATGTTATTGCTGACGACCTAATTCATTAACCAAATAAGAAGCGTGACCTCACAACCAGTGTCAGATGTAGATATACTGACTATGGAAATGTATAAATTAATAAATTTACTAGCTTTCAGGATATGCGAATACTTTTATATTTATCTATTATATCATATTGTACATTATGAGTTTGGGGACTTTCTACATAAAGAGACATCGGGTATCGGCCACATATCAGACGTGTATACCATCGTGGATAAAGATTGTCAAATGACATTATTTTACTAATAATGTTAATTTAGTAGATCTATATTTTTGTTATCAAAAAGTCGATCGAAAGCAACTTTCCATAATAGAAAATAATACCTATAAGGAATATTTTGCCGAGGAAAATAAAATTTGTTTTGTTAGAATTATATCATCGATAGTTTTGACATGCTTATTTTGTAATTTCCGCACATTAACACGAACGACTGAAAAATACAAACAAACAAAATTGAGTCAAAGTCAACGTTGCTAATTGAAAGAAACCGAAAGAATAGCCTAATGATACTTAAAATAAAAGTATTGTGAATTTGAAAGTAAGCGCAGGTATGATTGTTCACAAATTCGTCATAATTACGCAGCGAGCGCACAACGAGCCTACCTTCGGTTCGATTGTATTCACGAGTGCATTGTTCGCGAACGCTTTAGTCGAGAAGTGGGCAATGTGAGCGCCGTATGGTAATCCAAGAGCCGGCGGCGTGAAAAATCGATGTCAGCACTTGGTCAAACGATCGATCGACGTTGATGGTAATTCGCTTTCCCATAGCATGTCGATGTATTGATCGTTGTCGGATCCACAACCTGGTGCGCAATGCTGCCCGCACTCTTGCCGCCAGCGCGAAGGGGCTGGAAGATTTACCACCTGCTCGGCGTCGGGGCACCCGATGCCGCAAGTAGTCCGACGACAGCCGGTACCGTCAGACGTGAAATTTCGCGTGGCCTTGCTGACCTGGCGGATGTGGCACAAACTTGATGCACGTTTGTTCGCTGATGTGGGCCATCCCTTCCATCGTGTTTTCTTTTCCTAATTGTCTTTCCGTAACGACAATATTGAGAGCCACTTGTGACATAAGTTGATTGCATTGCCTTTTTTGAGTAACAGCTGTTTACAAAGATTAATTGTAAATAGTAAATATTCATGAACAATCTTGAAAACTATGTTCAAAATGCATGGGTTTGCCCGGGTTCGTCTTTGGGGGACGAAGCTTGGAAAATCAATTTCTCTAATCAGGCTCGTAAGAAACACGTCCGACAGGCCACAATGACGCTCGAGCCGTAACAATGTTCCCATTCGACTTATTTGCTGGAAGAATTATGTCGTCCTTGTGATAGTCAACCAGTTCCTTGGGATTGACACTTAAATTTTTATTCCACCCGGCTACTTTGGCACTAGTTTTGTGACTTGGGGATTCGGCGATGCGATCTCCGTCTTGGTCTCAGACAGTCAAATATACTTACATTTTCCTTGAATATTTTAGACACACAGTGACGTATCGCGAAGGATCAGCATTCAACGGAACCCAAATAACTAAAAAATTTTCAAATTCTCGTTCAAATCTAGATTCACTGATCTTACTTGCAAGCAATATTCTTTAGAATAATTTGAGGGAAAAATTTCAACGTTAGCTAAGGAAAAACTGCAGTCTTAAATTATCCGGCCAACTTGTCCTTGGCATTCGCGTCATAAAAAAAAACGACATCAGTCACGAATCTACTCAAAAAAAAGCATGCGCATTACTATATTTTCCAACATTGTTTGTCGGCGAGAAGTCTCTCCTGTGCCGCGAGAGTAAAAAGCCCGCAAAAGGACGCCGCGACGAAAACGCGAGGCCCGAGGTTGCTCGCCAGGAGATAAATAGAAGTGGCGTAGCCCGCGCGCGCGAAGAGAGAGAGAGAGAGAGAGAGCACGTAATCGCGAGGCACCTGTCTATATTGCGAGTCGCGAGAGAGAAAAAAAGGGGAGCTGCGCCGTTTCTCTCGGCGCTCTGCGGCTTATCGATTCGGCGGGCGTCGAATGCAGCACAGAGGCTACTCGCTCCCGATGGCGCGGCGCGCGCCACTACGCCGCACCGCCGCCGTCGGAGGAGGGGAGCTCGCCGGGGCCGAGCTCGCCTTCCTCCCCCGACTCTCGAAAGCTCGCGTGCGCGCGGTTAGTGACCGTTACGAGGGAGGTGTGCGCGAGGCGCGCGCCAAATTTCACTTGGACCGATTGCTCCGTTGCGCCGCGAAGGGGAAAAGAAAATTCAAAGATTTTGCACCCCGAACGAGGCACGTTGTTTTCTCCACGATCGCGGGAACTCGTTCGCTCGTCTTCGATGAAAAGCGTTCTGAACTTGTGGCAATCCGCAAGATAGCTACAAATACAGTGATCCGCGTTTCATAAGTACCGACAATATAGAAAGCTACAGTGATGATATATTTGTTAAGGAAGCAACGTTTCTCAGTTAAAAGTTAAAGAAAGGTTACAACGTCGGAGTCGACGAGATTCCAAAACATTAACGAAGAAAAAGCAGTACCAGAGACAAGTATTTAAGCAAAACTGTTGTTTCCAAAAACTTCAATTGATGTTTCAATACGAGTCACGTTCAGTTTACGCGCTAGAAAAAAATGAAAATTCGATATCGATTTTCTCAAAGTATCTTATTGCTGCGCGCGTGCATCGATGCTCGCAATAAGCTGGTGCGAAATTTCAAACCCCCGACGCAATTGCGAGATCTCGGTCACAAAGCCGGTCAGGTCACCGTTACCGTAAGAGTGACGACAGTGTCGCAGCTTCGCGAAAGCTCTTGCGGCAAGAGAGAGAGGGAGCTGCAGCAGAAGTGAGACGGTGATAATGCAGCAGCAGCAGCAGCAGAGCGAAGCTTGTAATCAGTGCACGAGAAGCGCGCGGGAAGAGCTTACCTCTGATGGGCACTCCGCTCTCGCAAACACATACTCGCGAGCCGACTGGAATGATAGGCGGCGTTGCAAGTCGTCGGTCGTGTCTCAACGAATTCATCGCGAGCTCATGGGACATTCGGGATGAGTCGCCGTGAAGAGAATCCGCGATAACGAGCGAAAAGGAAAACAAAAAAACGACGAAAATGCCAAAGCCGACGAGTCCGCGTTGGAAGTAACGGGAAACGGAAATCGAAGGGACTTAGTTGACAAAAGTAAAGTAGCATCGTAAAAATGTCAGGCGAAGATTGTAAGTCGAAGGGTTTGCTTGGCGCGGTGGCCTGTCGCTTGGCTTGAAAGCTTGCAAAGCATACCTGGCTGCGCTATAAGCACACATTGCAGCATCTGCACACGCAGCTGGGCGCTGCTGTGCGAGCTCGCGCGGGGAGAGAGACAGCGGAGCGGATCGCCGCCCACCGACGGCGCAACGAAGGGAGGCGAGCGGCCCCCGCGTCGTACGCGTAGTGCGCGAGCTGGTCTGCGTGCCGAGCAGTAGTGCCGCCGCCACGGGCCGGCGCGCGAGCCAAGCGTACGATCACGCCTGCAGCAGTGCGCGACAGTTGCCTCGTACGACCTCGCCTCGCTAGCTCTCTGCCGCGGTCGCCTCCGCTCGAAGCCGCTTCTCGCTAGGTCGCGTGCCCCATCTCGGCGGGAGCGGACGACGCAGCGACGAACAAAGGTGCGCGAGGAGAGGCAGCGAGGCCTGCGATATGGACTCTTCGCGCGCCAAGGTATACCGAGCCAGTGCGGGCGGAGGGGGGGGGGGGAGGTCAAAGAAAAACGCGTCGCTCGCGCGTCTCTTCATCTCGTCCTGCGTCGGTGCTCCTTGGTTCCCCTGCTCTTCGTCGTCTCTTTTCGCTGCACCGTCCCTTCGTCCCGATTCCGCTCGACGCGTGCGATCCGTAGCGCTCGCAGCTTTTCCTCTCGGATAATGGGCTGAGCCGGCGGCGGTCGTGCGCGAGGACAGCGCGCGGCCCGACGCGTCGATTGCGCTCCGTCGCCTCGGAGCGTGCCGCATAATTCGAAATCGATCGTCGGAGCCCGCGAAGACGTGGGAAGCGAGCTTAGCTCGTTGCGCGATCGCGTCCCTCGTCCGAGACGACTTGCCGTGACGATCGACCCCGCGATTGTCGATTTTATCGCCAAGCGAGCGTCCGGTTTCGGATCGGAACGCCGACCGCCGGCTAGCTGCGCGTAATCTCGTGGCGTTGATTGCATCGCGTAAATCCGATGAATTTTTCGAACGCGACGTCAACCGAGCGCGCTTGTCCGCGAAGAGCGGCGTACGCGAAGAACAAAGTTTTCAGGCGACGCGTCATTTAATCTATAATTTTTCCTTGTGAAAATTCGACGTAATATTTCGGATCCAACGATTTCGAAAGTTGTAATTTGTTGGTTAATCCGACACAAAACAAAATTGCATATCAACATTACTTTGTCACTGGACTTCGGGCTGTCATTGACAAAAACAAATTATTTAACGACGTAAAAAATAACGCAATAGGGTTCGAGTTCGTTTAGCAAATGTCAACGGGAAAATTCGTGTTTTCATTGCGATTATTTGAAAAAGAGTTTGCCTTTGAATATGATCCTCCGATTTCATTGACACGTAGCAACTGGTCTTATCTCATTGAGGTAAGCGAGAAAGCTTGAGCTTGCATCGTCTACTTGCAACGATGACGAGATAATCGACTTGCGATCGTCGTGCTGCTTTGAAATCGACGCGGCTGAAAATCTCTCATTGCTTCGACGTGCAACGCTTGCGTAATTTCGAACTGAGATTCGACTGCATTATAAACTGACGATCGACGAGCGCAGCGTGGCTGTATCGCCTCTTTTTGTTCTGCCATGTTCGACGAGTTCGCCTGCGTCGCAAAGCAAGCCGGTCATTTCGCGAAGAGGACGCGTGCTTCCGGTCGAGGGAGCGCGAGAAACCGCCGTGCACGAGTCTCACGCGAACGATCGCTGTTCCAGTCGTAACCAGCAAGCCGGACAACCTGAGCGGCGTCGACATGGCGGTCGACATCCTGGACGTGGACCACTTCGCGGTGAGCGCGATCGTGACGGTCGGCATGCAGCTGATATTCTTCACGATCGCCGCCACCTTCCAGTTCGACAAGGTCACCGACTTCGCCGGCGGCGTCAACTTCATCATCGTCGCCCTCCTTACCTTCTTCCTCGGACAGGTCGGTAAGGTGAGTCGGCTCGCGACCATTGCGGTGCGCCTATCTTCGCCCTTTCGAAACAAATAGCTCTGGTTATATACGTATCCGAACTGACAAGTGAGAGAACTCGTGCAAAGCATCTGTAATTAGTCACTTTCTCGGCCATTATCTCTTGTCTTGTTGATTTTTTCTTTTCGCCTGTTATCTCCCTTCTCTCTCTCTCTCTCTCGCTCGCTCTATCTCTTTCTCTACTGTACACACACGTAGACCTGCAGCGTGGGCTGCAGATGCGTATCTACTGCTAAATTTTATGCATTCCAATGATAGCGACCGTCACGAGTGTCGACGCTAAACCCAAATACATTTGCAGCTTCGTGGCTCGCGCACCACCTTACACGTTGTAGATTCGATCGACATGATTGATTGCCTTTCTCTCTCTCCCTGCGTATCGCGTTGCAAATTAGATATATTTCAATTTTCTAGAACAGCCGCATCGATCGAACAGAGTGCACGCGCCCCGAAAACGAGAACGAACTTTTTTGATTCGCGGAGACTATCGAAGTCAATGCCTATAGCACTCATAATCGTAAATATAAACCGTTTTCCGTTTCCAGAAAGTCGCAATACCCTCGGTACGGCAGATGAAAAAAAGAGAGAAAGAGAGTCGGTTTTTCATTCCGAAACTGTCACGGACAGTAAACTTGACCCGATCTTTGAAATATATTAATCGTCGGCTTTTTTCCTCCCTTTTATCGCGTTCCAATACTCGAGATAACGGGCTCTGATCCAAAGTCTAGTGCCAACCGGCAGACTTTTGCGAGTCGCTGTCTGTAAATACATAGAATTTACGTAGTTACGTAGTACATTTGCATAAACTAGCTAAAGTCGATATTAATTCGACGATTGAACCTGTACTTTCTTACATGACATAGTATGTAGATGAAGTTATGATTGTAGATAGAATGTTTATCATGACATTTTTTAACAAATATATGTTATTACTACACAGAGCTATTCAAGTAGAAATTAGTAATTGTCGGAATTCAAGCAGATGATTTTCCGTGCGTTGAATCGTTCAGTCGGAGTGCTTCGTACAACGTCAGGTTTTAACCAAAACTCGTACGTGTTATTCAGATTTTTCCTCTTACAACAGCTAATCCTATAATAAGATTGCTAATACATCGAAATATTTTGATTATATTTTAACGCGATACGATTTTAATTTAAATAATGAACTGTGAGAATTCAATTCGACTAAACAGTCAGTGAAAAGATGCAAACATTTCGCAACAACGAAAAACAACATTATCGCGCTTTCAGCGATCACTTTCGCTTTTTTTTTTCTATAGAACAATATAACATCAAAAAAATAGAATGGAGAATTTCATTCAAAGACGTTTGTTAATATTTCCATTTTCATTATACTTGCTTGGTTAGAACCTGAATCAGTAGACGATAATATAAATTAATAATAATCCGAATATCAGAAAATTATTTTGCTGATTTATCTACACTTTTTTTTAATCATTTCCACATAAAACATTTTTTAGTTATTACTATCCAGCTCATGCTATTGAATTTATTTTTCGACGTAATTATTAATTTCTATTTTACACATGATTGCATTGACTTTTGTCAATAATTACATCTGTAAAAGTTTGCATCCTTATTAATTGAATTGATTGTAATGTATTTAGATGAAATATTTTCTTCTTCTGAGTAATTATTTTTATCTAATAATATTTTTTTTATCCGTAAAGACACAATGTTTAAATTTATCTCACAAGTATCGCAGATTAGTTAAGTGTAGAAATGAACAACCTCATTTCATAGTTTTTTTCTTTAGTTATCACCATTGCACTTTTCTAGTTTTGTTGTACGGAAGTATTTGTACGAAATAGTAAGTACCGTAAAAATAAACAAGAATAACAGCTCGTGGTTTTAAGTCGATACATTCGCAGAGGAGTTTATAAGTACACGAGCATTTTGTTAAATTGCTACGAGACTAGTGCATCAAAACTATGGAATACCTTATAAAGCAATGTGGACGATGCTTACTTATCGCTTAATTATGTAAGAAGATGGTTGCTATATTGTAGTTTCGCTACACAGTCCAAATGTAATTTGAGCAAATGTAAATATGCAAATCCAAAAGCATCTATTTTTAGATTTCAATAAAAGTTCTACTTGGATCTCCGCGGCACGGCAACATTGTGCACGGAAACAATTTTCTCTGTTCAAGCGCAATAAAGATTTGCACGTTACATCGCTTCAAGTTCCACATACTGTGCAAATAAAAAAATAAGCAAGCATTGTCGGACTGAGCGAGGATCCTTGAGAAAAAAAACAAGCTCTGCTCGATTCCGATAATTGAAATAGGCGAATGCCCTTAGATGGAAGTGCGCCACTCAACCTATATTGTACGAAAGAAAAAAAAAAGAAAAAAGAAAATTGATTCCGAGAGTGGGAGTCAATTTCGATACGAAACGCTGCGTTCAATTAGCTAACCTTTTGCAGACCTACGACAGTCGCCAACTTATGGTGACGATATTCGTTTGTCTTTGGGGAGCCCGTCTCTCTGCTTATCTGCTCTACCGTATTATCAAAATCGGAAGGGACAAGCGCTTCGATGACCGACGGAGCAACGTCATACGCTTCGCTGTTTTTTGGACCTTCCAGGTGATCATTATTTTTTATCCCTCAAGCTCGGCGCTGCAACCCTGTTGAAGCTTCCGGCCGATTAAGACATTTTTATCGGTTCAATATTCATCTATTTGCAATCTCTTTCGCGTTTATCACCGTGCTACGTATTTTCGTTGATATTTATTAGTCAATAAATGTAAATTGCAATTTCATTTCGAATTCTGCGTTGATAAAATAGTTTGTCGTAAAGACACTTTTAGACGAAGCGGCATGAAAATTCCGTTTTCATTAGCAGTTCATCATAAAATTATTTTCGCCAATCTTTTCCTCGGCGCGATGTTATCGAAAAAATTTATAACCATGTCGTTACCGTATAACACTCACCTTCACGATTACATGCATACGCGATACAACGGAAACATAAAAAAGGCCGAAAATCGATCGGCGCACGCAAGCACATTTTCTGACAGCGCTCTTGCAACTTGGCGTGCGCAGGCACTGTGGGTGTACATCGTGAGCCTGCCGGTGATAATAATCAACTCGCCGAGGCACAAAATACCGCCGGCGCCAAAGACAATGACGACCCTCGACAGCGCTGGTACCGGCCTCTTCATCGGCGGACTCTTAGCCGAGACTTACGCTGACTTGCAGAAATTCGTCTTCAGGCAGGACCCAAGCAATAACGGCAAATGGTGCAACGACGGTGAGCGAAAGTATTTTGACTGCTCGCGGCAACGACGCGAGGCTAATGGCCGTGTAACCCTGTTTCTTTATCGATAACGAGGGCGCGAGTGTTAACGTTCAATTTTCGAAACGTCGGCAGGCAATTCAATCCTTGTGGATTTAAGGCCGAGCTTTTTCCCGTAAGCCCCCCCCCCCCCTCACCTTTCCCATGCAGTTTCTTAGCCAACTGAAATATATACAGCAAGGGCGGGAAGCCTGTCGCGTCTTCCCTCCAATGCTTAAGCTCAACATTGTTGGTACTTGAATAAACGTTATAGTCTAGATTACGTCGAACCAATTTTTGAGAGTTTTATCTAGCCGGCCTCCTCGTAAGAAATCAACGACTCACACAAGGAATAGATTTAAAATAAATTATTAAAATTATTTAAAAACGCAGTCTACAAAGGATTGTGATGCAAAAACCTAAAATAACCTTTCGTAGATTTGATTTATTGAGTCTTCTTCCGCGATAAGTACTTTATCGGTAAAGCTTTGCACGAAAATTGATCGAGGTTGGGAGTTACGCTTGTTCGGCTACAGCGTGCACTATTATTTACTTTCGACACCAGTGACAGCTCAAAATCGTCGTTGATACTTTTTTACGATTAAACCGCTGGACAGAATGCTCCATGTAATTGTTTAGCCGTTATCGGGGCTATGACAATTGTCAATATTAATTGTTTCAAGTAGCAAGTCTGTTTCGTTTGGAGGTAAAACGCGACATTTTTCCCGTCTACAATACACGTATAAATATATATACATTTTTTAGATAGCTGCAAGAATTGTATGGGAGGGGTCTTGAACAAAGAGAAAAAAAAACTTCCACGGAAAAAAAAAATAACGGCGGGAAAACGTGCAATTTATTATTATCGACTTTTATCGAGCAAACAACAAGCCCCGCAATCTTGTTAAAGAGGTAGCAAGACAAATTGCCGTCACGCGCGAGCAAAGAAAAAAAGTGACTTCCTCCGGCGGCCGACGTTGCATAAGCCCTCGCGGCCACACCTCGACGGAGCCATTTTTTTATCCAAAGCAGAGCTCGAAAGATCGCGAGCCGGGGCGTAGACGCCACTTCGATAAAGTGTCACCGGTGTAAAGCTGCGCATCGAGCGAACTCGGCGCCCGCACAACGCGCCCCGTTCCTCGATTGTTCTTTCCTCGATCGCCACTGCGCCCCGACGTTCTCGAGAGTGCTTGGCGCTCTGCCAGACACTGCGACACTCGCGCGCGGCGCGGATGCGTTCAAACTGTTGAATCGATGCTTCGCGCAGGTCTGTGGAGTATGTCGAGGCACCCCAATTACTTCGGCGAAATCGTCGTCTGGTGGGGTATCTTTACCATCTCGCTCAACGTCATCGAGGGTTTCGAGTGGATTGCCATTGCCTCGCCCATTTTCACCACTATCATCATACTTTTTCTCTCGGGGATGCCGCTGTTGGAGAAAGCCGCCGACGAGAGATACAGGGAGTGAGTAATTTTGCCAAACTTCAAACGAATTTTTTTCTTTTTTACTCGCGTTGCATTCTCAAGAGTGCGTTTTTTTTTTTTTTTTTTTTTTTTTTTTTTAATTAAGAAGTAGACACACGCGCATTGCTTCTTTTAAGTAAATGTTTGATTATGTTCTTGTTTGTGTCAATTAGAACAACAATATTCTTGAAAATAGAACAATTTTTATTGGAAATGAGATTTTATCGTTCTTGTACAATTAGTGGTCAATGATTCTAATTTAAGAAACAAACACAAAACGAAACTTCGTTATTTTTGAGAAATTTTTCTTATTAATGGAAGTATTTTTTAAAATAAATACCAATTACTTTATTATTTTGAGAAAAATATATCTCATAGGAAATGAAATGGGAAATATTTTTCATTTTATTTCCGCTATTGAAATTAGGTTATCATTTCGTAGAAATACGAAGAAATCCTTGTAACAAAAAATGTTTCTAGCTGAGAATTCATTTTTGAAATCTTGTTTCATTCTTTAGAAAAAATTCTTGACGCCCGTAATTTCGCAAATAACTTTGTTGAAAAAAAAATGCTCTCGATCGGAAGAAAGAAATATTTTTTTTTGAAGAAATGCAGCCATGAATTTTCCAAAATGCATGTATCTTTCAGCAACGCGGAGTATCGCTACTACAAGCAATCGACTTCGCCGCTGATTCCAATTCCGCCGGCGTTTTACGGAGAGGTGCCGTGGTTCCTGAAGTGCTTGATCTGCTGCGAGTTCCCGCTGTACGACTCGTTGGACGTAAAGCCACGCGCCGCCGTGACCGAGTCGACGTCGATAAGCCTCGCCGCGTCCACGTAGCTATAAGCGTGCGTCGGGCTCCATCGTCGTGGCCGACGCACGTAAAACTTGGAGTGCAGCTCTTTCGTCTCTTCCAATGCTACGCATTTTTCTCCTTTGTTTTCCTTCGCAGTCTTCCCTCGTCGATCAACCATTGGAGCAATGTCGTTGTGTGCGGTAAAGCATTCGACTATTTGCCGATACTTTATCTCTTGCATGCCTCTTTCTTTTCGCCACCGAACAGCCCTATAGAATAGTTAGATTAGTAATATTGAATGTGCCCTTCGCTGAAAGCGTATTTTTCCTATATCGAACGCGGAATATTGAAAAAAAGTGCCACACATTGTGCATCTTCTCGCGTGGATCGATATTCAAAGATGACAAAGGAGACAGTGCGTTCGTTTTTCCTCCGCTTTCAACCCAGAATAAAGGCGCAAAGAGAGAGAGAGAGAGAGAGAGAGAGAGAGAGAGAACTTGTCGCGAGAGTTCGATCGTCGAAAACGAGGGGAACGAAGATGAAACAAATCCACGCGACTCCCGCAGTCGCTCGCTCGATTTCGATGCGAAGACTCTACATCTATCAGACGATTCGACTACTATACATAGACGACATGAATACTTAGATGCCAAATTTAAAAACTGCCTGTTATACATTCACTTTTACTCTTCAACTGCGAACTGTACACGATATGAGTGGACGGTGCGAGTTCCCGCGAGAAGTGTCCTCTCTTTCGCGAGCACGAAGACGAGGGTGGGGAAAAGGAGAAACAATGTAACTATGTATGTGATTCGTACCGAGCCAGAGACTTTAGAGTATATTCATATATTAAGAAACGGTCCGCGTGAAATTCTCTTTATCCTCTGCTCTCGTGACCCCCTTTATTGGCACTAGCAGGGCAGTTCGCGAAAAATCGAACGCCACGATGTGTCCTTGCCACCGCTCTCGGTGATGCACACGTCTGTACCCGCTACCGTAGATCCAAGAAGCTAATGGGATCTCATTGGGAATCTTTGTTTTACCGGCGAGCATTTTGGCCGCGATCGTTTCGAGATTTACAAATTTCGTCCACACGATAATCCTAGAAATAACGGACAGACAAAGGATTCCTGCAACTTTTCACGGCGGCCACGGTCGTCGTGCTAAACTAATGTACTGCTGACTCTATCGTTTATCGCTTCCAAAGTACACGCGTAAAAATACGAATGTGCAATTAGCTCGAAGCTTCCTAGTGCCAACTGTGAACTATCTCCGCATAAAAGAAAAATGAGAAGAAGGAAAAAAAAAGCAACTTCACCGAACGCCCCCGTAGAGTGTACAAGCGAACGCGTTTGAGGAAGCGAGAGACTTGTTATTTTTTTTTTCGTTCTTTTTCTAAAAGTATGCGCGCGCGCGCGCGCTAAACACCGTCACGCACGCTCTCGGTGTCAAGGAAAGCAATTTCCTCTCGGCTGGAGTGCGAAGAGGAGAAGAGGTAGCGCGCGCGCGCGCGCGAGAACCATTGTACCTGCGCGCATCCAGTTTGGCACGAGCCCGGAGCCGCCCGCCGATCGCGCCCGACGCGCGACGACTCCTGTCTGTGATAGACGCTCGCAAGTACCTGCACGGCTCGCGCGCCCCGCGGCCAACGATCGGCGGGCAGCGTCCGTCGCGTGGCCGGACAGGAATAAAGCGAACCCCCGGCACCCGGTCCCGCGTAATCGATCGATATCCTCGCGCGAGAAAGAAAGTACATAGCGTTTAGTCGTGTACTTCATCCTCGTACATAGTCGAGAGAGAGAGAGAGAGAGAGAGAGAGAGAGAAGTACGCGCTGGGCGTGGACAAGGGACGAGGGGGGAAAAATAAAGTTTGATCAGTGGCCTTTTTGACGAACGTTGTTTCTAACGAGGAAATCATATACCTCGACCGAGATCGCACGGCTGGTAATCGAATTTAAGCTTCCTTTCCGCGACATCCGTCAAGTTTTACCGAATGCCTATCCGGCAAGCGTTGATTTAGCAGGCTGTAGGTAGAATTGAACTCAGCAGACAAACTTTTTAATACTTATACACGATATAAACAACTTCAGTAACGACTTGACAAAATTAGTTGAAGTTATCTCAGAATCAGTATTATAAACAAAAAAAAAAAGAAAAATAGCCGTAGAGAGTAATTTGGTTTATTGCCAAGCGTTGTATTATACGCATATTTCTGAACGAGAGTCGAATCAAATGCAAAACCGTTCTTTTGGTATTCCCAGCTTCGTTAGTGGTTACGAAAAGGCATCATCGCGAGGGAAATAAAAAAAAAATTTACATCGTCTTTAGGGCGTTAGACGGACAGCTAATACGATTTGATTTCAATCGAGCGAAATATATACTCAGCAGCTACTCTTTTTCTCGAGGTAGCGGCCGCTAAATAAAAGTACCTATGACACATATCTCTAGGGTAAGTAGCGACTTTTACCACTTTACGATTAGGCCGACCGGGGGAAGCGAACGTGAGACGCGAATTTTAATTACTCAAAGTTATGATAGCGAGTCACTGTTGAGCCCCCCGAAGTAGCGAGTGTACCGGGTGATTTTTGGATCGACGACCTTTCTAACTGTTCACGCGTAAATCAAAACCTATTGTTCATATAGCGACTCATTTTGAATTCCCTTCAGAAATTTCAATCGAAATGTTTATCCGAATAAAACAATTATAATTTCTCATTGACTATTCGTGATTGAATAGTCTTAATATTCTTAATGATTAACGGCAATTTCAGACTTTTCAATCACACTGATGATAATAATGATGGATTACAATGATTTTTCCATACGATACTATTGAACATTGACAAAGACCTTTCTTATAAAATAGATAAGGCAATTTTACTAAAGGCACTAATATTTAAAAGATTACAAAAAAGTAAAAACGGCAAAACTAGCTGCAGAGCAAACAACTATACGAGGAATGTATTAAAATCAAACCAATGATCAATGCAAAACAACATTTCAGTTGTAATTTAGTTATAAATTGCAGCAATTGTGTAGCGTTAAAAGTGTATTTTCTTCGCGGCAGTAAATTATAAGTAAGTATCGCTTTTTACGATGAACAAAAGATGTATTTTTTTAAGCAATCAACAAACTGTTTTCGAAAGATTTTAGCGGTAAGGAGCGTTGTATTTTATGTTGTACCTGCTAGTATGTAATTTATGCATCTAACGAATTGCAGTAAAAAAAAAAAAAAAAATAAGAAAAAAAAAAAAAATTCTTAGGTCTTAGCACTTCTAGATGCTCCGTCTTGTTGGGGCTACATTTTATAAAGAGAAAGAAAAGTAATTAAAACAAAATTTATGCACACGAATAATGATTATATTTATATACAACGATTAAAGAGCTGTTGTATATACCAGAATATTGGAAATAATTGTAAGATTAACATTTAGCGAAATAATCAAGAGAATTTGTACATAACAGCTACACTGTTAAATTTTCAAACAAAGAAAACATTTGGATTCTTGTAAAAGAGTAGATGAACATCTTAGATCTTTCATCGTTTTGAAATCTTCCCTCGATAATGTAAGAAATTAGACTTGCAGGATTTCGCATAATCTCCTAAGAAAAGAACTATGCAACCAACAGCGTCCGATCAAACGATTACTTTCTTTCGAAATAATACACTGATTTTATGCCAAAAAGTGAAAGACAAGCAAGTCCAGAGGTGCAAAAGCGCACTTGAAAGAGTGAAAAGTTCATTCCTCTGTAACTTGACCTGTAACTAATAATAAACGTACCTTAAAGTTCTGATTCATTGTCTATCGTTATTTGTATCAAATTTTTTCATTAGATAAATTCCTTAGGAAAAAATTATGGAGCACTCTGGATCATCTAGACATAAGCTAATCGGAAGATGCAAGAGAGCAGATCCAAATTAGACCCAATTGGACATCGCGTCGAAATAATCAACAAAAACGTTGCAGCTGGGGAATGTCATTTAAATTTGCAAGTCGTTGACGAAAATTTTCTGCAAGCTCTGAACCGTATAATAGCTTCTTTATCAAGTTTTTTAGCAGCGTTTCAAAAATAAACTAAATTTGGGGTCTTGTATTTTCTAAATTTCTACATCAGATCCGCTATGGCGAAAGTAGTCTAACTATAAGTTTCAAGATGGCTGCCAACTTCACTCCTGCACTTCCATATTTCGTAATTATTTTGCATTTGGGATGTCGCAGTTCAATAATTAAATAGTTTTTTGCTCTCCATATAAATTAGTTTATTCAAAAAAAGGAACAATAAAATAATATTAAACGCATGCAGACTTTTATTTCTTCGATTCAGATGTGCAACAACAATCTTAAGCCGTTTATAATACTGGCGCGCAGCTTGACATTTCCATGTTGACGACACTGAGGGCTAGTAGCCAATGCATCCCCACACCAAGTACAGACAACGCGATCTTTCTGATTTACACCGGAAAACATATCCACTTATTCCCGTTTAAACCATCACAGTCGTATGACGTCATATTGTTCTTGACGGCGCTGTGTACGTTGGCTGGAAAAATTCATCTGTGTGATATACTAGCAATCGTTCGCGTAGTGGGTTTTCGCAGTGAAATAGGTGACCGGTCCTTTAGATTCACGCCTGGAGCTACTATGTGATGGCATATATAATGGAAATTAGGTACGACCAACCGATATAGATGCTACAACTCAATCAATTCGCACGCCAATTGACTTTCAAGTCATTAAGTGCCGCGTAAGCAACTGATATTTCAACTGATATTCAGATATGTTTCTACGGGTCTTTAAAGGCGTATAGCTTCAGGAGCTAATAAAACGAGCGTGCGAGTCCGTTAAACGGAAGTGGGGGGTGCGCATACCTGGCACCGATGAGGGAAAATCGTCAAAGCGGACAGTTGTCCCGCGGAGCTCAACAACCTGCCAAAAGTAACAGACCGTCGCGGCCGATGTGAGAGCGTAACGGCGCGCCATCGGTGGCCAATAAAGAATGACTTCCGCACCGTGAGTCACGAATTTCCATTCGCTTGCTTTGGCAACGCTCTTGTCGCTCGTCGCGCGTTCCGTGGCGCAAGTCAGTAGAAGCCGTGGAAAGCGTCGACGTAACAGTTGCGCGGCGATTGGCATTCGTTGTAATTAGCAGCCTGAAATTGCTGTGATACATAAAGTTGCCCCCGTCGGTCTCAAAAAACACTCGAGCTCCGAGATGTCCTCCGACGCAGTCTTGAAAGTCGTTCAAAATTGTATCATCGTGAAATTTTCGTACACGGAATTTTCATTGCTAACGGCGTTCGATTCCTCGTGATCTTAGTCGTTCGGAATCGCGCGTCGCGCTAACTTTAAGCGTGCAGTGATTTCGTAGAGTGCAGAGCTATGATTTTCGGACTCTTGCACGATTGGAAATTGTACAGTGGCTCGACCCGTCAATACGCCGCGCACAAATCGATCCAGTTGCCAGAAAAATTGCAATTTTTTTAACGAATTACTTTGGGTTTCTGTGTAGTTATAAATAGGGAGAGAGTGAAAGCAGATGGTAGAAAGGCCAAGTGCTACAAGGTTGTGCGCTTACAGGGTGAATCGAATGAGGCAGACAGGAAATCGCCAAAACTAGAAGCTTCGTTGATCGTTAGGTTATAAATATGAGATAAAGTCCATCTTGTTGAATATAGACAAAACGATTTCAACTTAATTATTGCATAAATTGAATTCCTTTCAAACATCAAAGTGACAGAATAAATCTGACTTGTCGCGCTTCAAATCTATAGTGATTTGGACAATCCACGTCGTTGGCGAGCTGATTTTTCAACGTTGGAACCGTTAGTTGCAGGACACACTTGGCGCTGTATCTGCTACTGGCAACAGTCGTCGCGGAAAACACTACAACGCCGCTGGCAGATTCAAGGAACGTTTTCCAAGAACTCTTCAAGATACCCGTGTACCGCGATTACAAGACTCGAGATATATTGAGCGACGGCAATTTCATCGAGCTAAAGCACACTTACGACTTATCTTGGCTGGAACCAAGTGGCTTATGGATCAAACTCATAAGCCGGCAGACCAACAGAACGATAAGCGAATGCCACCTTCAGAATGCGCTTGTACAACGCTAGCCAACAGTCGGCTCCGTCGGATTGTCGAGAATTGCTCGGCCTGCCGAACTTTGTTGACAGCGTCGTCCCTGTCGTATTGCTGGAGAAGGAGGCAAAACAGCTACGAGGACGACGCTGCGATCCACTGCGCGGCGTTCCGAGAAGACGGCTCAGTGGCCTTCAATAGGACCCTAGGTTATCCGGGCGGCACCCAAATTTGCCACGTACAAACCATTGCCAATGGCTTGATTCTAATCACGTCCGGCTGCAGCTCGCTCGAGCACGACTGTTACACCGTCGACGTAGCAGTGATTAGGGGAGACTTTGAACGCGCCCGCGACAATGGCAGCTGCTCGGGTTCGCATTCCACCTTGTGCTCGCCGCGACATGAGCCGATAGCGATCAAGCGCCACCGATATAATTTGGAATGCGAGGTATTCAGCACCACGAATTTCCAAACTCGCGTCGACGTACCTAACGATTCGATCCAAGTAAACTACTTGTGCGTCCGTGGCACCTATTTACATTATTCCAATTTCTCGTTGATTGAATTTGAAACTGGTTATTTTTCATAAAGATAAATCTAAATCTTTTAGGCGGACTACCGTAAGTGTCATTATTAATAACATTTTTCCAAGATGTACATTTTACCATGACGCGGTTTGACCGCAAAAGTGTTCTTTTGATGAAATGTCCAATTCGTCGTCAAGATTTGCACGTATAACTAAAACTTATGACGGTCGGTCTAAAAATGAGATTTTTTTAGACAAACATTTTTACGACATCTGCGTCCTTTTTAACAATATTTCTCAAAGACCCTCTCGGCAACCATGAAAAGGGTCTAAAAACATAATGCATATATATTTTGGAATTGTTCGATTGTTGAGAACAAAGAAGAATTAAAAAAAAAAAAAAAAAAACTTCCATTTCGTAATTATTTTGCACTTGCGATGTCGCAGTTCAATAATTAAATAGTTTTTTGCGCTTCATACAGATTAGTTTATTCAAAAAAAAAAGGAAAAATAAAGTAATATTAAACGCATGCAAACTTTTACTTCTTCGATTTAGATGTGCGACAACAATCCCAAGCTGTTTATAATACTGGCGTGCAGCTTTATTTACGATACAGTCGACGATTCCCATCTCGACGACACTCGGGAGTAGTAGCCACTACATCCCCACACCAATTAGAGACAACATGATCCTGATTTATACTGGAAAACATCTATTTATTCTTGTTTAAATTAGGACAATCGTACGACGTCATTGTTCTTGACGTAGCTAGAAAAATACACCTCTGTATATTAATAATAAAATAATAATACCAATAATCGCCTGAACAGTGAGCTTTTGCAGCCAAGTAAATATAATTGGTACCTCAAATTCGCATCTTTCAGGTATACAAGTAACATGGGTTCGTCGAAGAACGCATCAGTCGAGTAAATTAACTTGTTTCGGTCATTGTACTTTCCGCAATCAATTCTGTTGTGATAGGCAGTATTATGGATTCAGCGAAAAGTCAAGCCAGCAGAAGCAAATTGTAAATTTCAATCGATACTTGGCAGTGATACTAGTGTTTCCAGCAGATCTCTTTAGAACGGCTCATCTTGAAATCTCCGAATGACAAAATCTTCGAATGCGTATGTTTAACCCAACCCGAACCCAATGAGATCAACGTTAAATACAAACTTGTTCTTAGTTGAAATTGATTGAAATCACGAGTTTCATGCAAAGAATAGCTGTACCAGCATCGATGAAAGGGGGCACGGGCCTTTCTCGTAAAAAAAATTAACGGCAATATCGATAGGCTTCGATGAACAGGTCCAAATGTCAGCTGGCGTAGTATTTTCTGCCGTCATCCTAACCTCATGACACGTGCAAATAAGCAGTCTCTCATATTCGACATATCAAGAGATATACAACAAAGATATACTCACAAATAGATTTCGTATTCATTCAGTCGTCTAAACGAACTAAAGTTTGTTGCAGCAATGTTGGACCGGTTTGCTACACCGAAGACACCGTCGATGTGGGTCCATGAATTCCATTGCATTTCCAACTTTAACGCAGTTACTGCTGCGAATTTAATTCTAAGTAAAGTAAGTTGGCGACGATGTCAAATTCAATCAAAAATTTTAAGTCCTGTCAGTCAACCATTCGCAATCCGATCCCGCGTGGAGTACTAGCCAGAGATACACGACGAGTTACGTATTGAAATCTTTCGGGATCGGGAAATGAGTATAGCACTGAACAAGTAGTAATTCAAATATTGATATTTGACTCACTCTAACATTCATACGAATACTTCACTGACAAATAATCAGTATGTTCTCTGACATCTCAATGCTTCGATTTTATAAAAAATTCATCTTCAGAATTCAAAACCTCTTGCCCTTTGCCCTCGCAAAAAAACAATTTTTAATAAGAATTAACTCTTTTTTTTTCTCTCTCAAACCTTACAAATACATTTTTTATGCAAAGTATGTTATGTTATCATACTCATCGCTATCATTATTCTATTAAAATTTTTTAAATCCTGGTAGATCTATAGCAGCTGAATAATACGTGTTACGTAGATACAATTATTTTTTATTGATTTTTGAACTGTAGGTCCAGTCTAATGTGTGTAAAACTTTTTCCTCCTGCACCATTTCAAAAAATGGTGGGGGAGGTGGGTCTACATATTTATGACTAAAGGAGGAATCAAACTAATGCGCACAGGTACTCGATGTACCTCTGCATCGTTCCACGTGGACGTAGTTCTTGAGGTCACAACAACAATAATAAGAATTATTTTATTTTCAAATTCGCTTGTTTTTTTCATTTTCCGAATTTATAAAATGAAGGTATAACCAAGAGATTATTACAAAAAATAACAAATGACAAGCGATATGGAAAAAGTTGATTACTGTAGAACTTTTTGAATACCGCCAGTATTATATTTCCAAACGTATGACTTGAAAATCCAAAAACATTCTATTTCTAACTTCTAAGAGCTTCCGAATTTGAAGAGTACACGATGTGAAATACCAGTTTCTATTAGCGTAAACCTAGAGACAGGTGTGATCTGCACAATAAACAAGCCTCTAAAGATTATTATTTATAAACACATTTTATTCGTCCGTATGTATATCATTAATAAATGCTGATATAATAATGACAATGAAATCATGTATAGCGTCGAGCATAAAACGAGCAGTCGTATCTTATAATTTTTTATATATATTTATATTATATATATACACATATATATATGTATATATATATATGTAAAATTGTCATTAATATTACTCTTATAAGATTCTTTTTGTTGCCTTACTGTAAATGGGTGGTGCCTAACTACTCTGTGCTTACTTATTTGTTTTTCTTTTGCAGTTTCGGCAGTTTCGTTTCAGCTCTCAAATAATGCCATCGTTGCGATGTTAAGCTATCAACAATCGTTCAAAAACTGCTCTCATCTCTCCCTACGCAATCCTCTACACAATGTACGATTTCTAATCATTTTTCCGCGCTCATATTTTTCATCGATCGTTTTAATAATAATCCTTTAAGATGCTTAGATACAATAAAGTATGTCCATTTGCGCAAGTTTTGCTCCATTGAAACAAAAATGCGACTTACACTTTCAATTCCCCTCGCGAGTTATCTCTTTTTCCGTTTTTTCGCGTCTTCCCTAATTTTTTTCCTATTACTGCTAGACAGAAAAATAATGAATTTGACGTAGAAACCGAAACGCGCCGCGAATAATATTATCAAACGTTCTTTCAGTAATTCGATGCGTGAAAGACACTTTGTATAATAATCGTCACCTAAAGGTTTGTTGATCGCGTTCAAGCGCCCGACTCTAATCATTTAACTCGTTTTTTTTCATCTTCGAAAGTGGCCGCGTTTTAAAAGCGCCGTTAAATGTTCGCCTATATTTTAAATAAATACCAGAGTATTTGTCTTTTTTAATTAAAATGACATATAGATTTTAACAGTTAAATCAGTACTTGCAGTTATTTAATTATAATAAATATGTGGATCGTGTTTTATTTTGGTGTGAATATATATATATTTATATATATATGTGATGACAGAGCTGGTTGACTTATACTTTATTTATTGTTCATTAATAATCGCGTTTCAAATTGGATACATTATACAAATGTGTGTAGCATTCATTTTTCATTCCGTAATAATCTTCTTAAATTCACAAGTTCATCGCGTGTATATTCCATATTTGTTTTTAAATCTGTTGTGGGCTGCATTCGCCTGTACATAATGCACATACAAACATACAATATGACGTATTTCTATAATATACAAATAAATGTAATAATTATAATTAATATTTCGCCGACGTCGCACGTTTTAAATGGCCGACGACGCTTTGTCAGATTTGTATAAAAAAAGACGTAAAAAAAGGACTATAAAGTTACAAAAAGACGGGAATGAATTTGTTCCATATATTTCTTTTTTTCTTTTTTTGTTAAATCTTTTGATCGGCTACGAGAATGAGAAAATGGCTTCGTGCCGCGTGTGAGAACATGTATGTGTAACGCGTGGCTGTGTGTGTGTGTGTGTGTGTGTGTGTGTGTGTGTGTGTGTGTGTGTATGTGTTGCACATTTATAATAATGAGTTCAAGCGCCAATGCAATATGAACAACGAGCGTCGTCGCTTTGACAATCAAAAATTTTTGAGCGCCGCGCCGAGCCGAGGTCGCCTGATATATCTCGTACTAGGCGTTGGTACCTGTGCAAAAAAGGAGATTGTTCTATGTCCATTTTTGCGCGGGTAGATGTACCTTGTGTTTCTTTTTATTTGTTTTATTTTTTTGTTAGCTAGACTGAGAAAGAGAGATTGCGCAATGCAAACAGAAAGACAATCGGGCGTCCATGTCTCGGCACTAAAAGGCGATATTATGGATGTTACAATGTTGCGTACGCGCGCTCTACTGTCGCCTTTGTAATGTACTTGTCGCGTTAATGTGACTTTGTCTAGAGAAAAATGCACTAATTCAAAGTATAAACAATCACACTTAAGAAATATACGAAGGTTGATTTTTTCTCGAAGGCTGACTATCTTCGACGAAAAAAAAGCATCGTTCTTTCGTCGCTGTTGTCGCACCACAATCAGTAGACACGCTTAAGAAATGATAAGCCAGCTATCAACTTCCGCACCGTTTTAAAGTTTCTTTCACACGTATACGCGAACAAAAGTACATTACAAATTTTTTTTCAATACCAGAAGCGCGCGCGCTTATTTATTTATTTTTTGTTCGCGACGCTCACAAAGACTCAGTCGCGAGCCGAGAGACTTTTTGTTTTCGTCGCATCTCGTGCTCTTATTCTACAAATACAATAGCATATCTCATCTTTCTTTCTTTCTTTTTGTCATAAAATTTCATAAACTTCTGCTCAATCCAATCAAATGTTTCTTCATTTTTTTCTTTTTTTATCCCTATAAACTAACGCGTCTGACAAAATCCTTCGATGCAATTGTCGACTCTTTAAATCATCACAGTCTAGCCCGCTACTCAATCCTCAAATTCTTTTTTTTTTCCATTTATTTTCTAATTAATAAAGCATATTTAGCGTGTACATGTGTAAAGGGTATACATGTGTAAATGCAAAAATGCGTGTTTGCGTGTCGTCGCTTCGTCGCAGACGTGCGTTCTTCCTTCTTCCTTTTCGCGTATTTTACGCACCTGCCTTATTTACGTTTGAGTTAGAGTTTTTTTTCATGGACTAGCGAGGCTAATCTGCGACGTTTTCTCAGTTCTTTCTCTAATAAATATACGCTGTTGTTCTTTTATTTCTTTTTTTTTACCATTTGCGACAAGATCGTGATATCGACGAGAGAGATTATATTCATTTGTAATAATTTGACGATTGAAAAAATAATTGTAGACGCACCGGAGGCTAAAAATCTTTGTTTTTATTTTTTTTTTTTGGAAGGGTGATTCGCTTCATTTTGTTAAAAAAGTCTATTACAATTGTTACTTTCGTAGAATTTGTTATTTTTCATACAAAAAAGCATTTCTTTTATTTTTATTTACCGAGTATAAAAAGATTCGTCGTCTGGTAACTTCGTTCAGCAAGAGACCGAGTTTATATATTTTATCGTCGTGTTGTTCTTGTTTTTAGAAAAAATGTTTCTTACGTACAAAGGTAATTATAATTATATAATAATGATATTTTTCGAGAAAAAGTTTTTTAACCTCGCATCACATATTGTAAAACAGCGAATTTCCCCCCACATTCCCCGTTTCGTCCTTATAGCGACACAGGCTATTGCATTCGTTTAATATTGCAGTTATACACACTATGGCTTTTTTACTATAATGACTCGAATTAAAGGATAATTAAAAACATGAACATTTAATCAAATATCCGCCAGAGGGAGAGAACGGAAATTGATGAGAAGGAATAAAAAAAATCTTTTAGAAGTCTCTACGCGCGACAAAAAGAAAAGAATACTGTGAGAGTTTTTTGTATTTCCGCCTCGTTTTGTATGTTATTACAATACGTATGTGTGTACATAAATATATACACACATGTATACACACACATATATATATACACATATATATATACATATACGTGGCGATATAAAAAAATTGCAATGCATAAAATTAAACAAATAGAAGAAAAAAACTTACAATAGTACAAAAAAATAAAAACACAAGTTTTTTTAGAGCGGCAGTGAGAGAGAGAGAGAGAGCAGGAAGAAAAATCAAATTCTCTTCCTACTCTCTCCTCGTTACAAAAACTCCTTAATTATATATCATTTTTTATCTTTTTTCCTCATTTGATCGTTATGAAATCATAAAAAAAAGGAGAAAAAAAAAATAAAACACACATACATGTTTTTATCGAGCCCCTCCTCTCGATCTTAAGATTAATTAGAGAGCATCGAGTATATAAAATAGTCCACAACATACACTAAATATAAATTTTCGCTCTCTCTCTCTCTTTCTCTCTCCTCATAATCTGTCTCATTAAAAATCTCTCTCTCCTCCGATACACAATAGTTGGGCCGAGTGAATCTCGGTCTAGCGTTGATCAACTTATTTTCCTTCCTTTTCTTTCTCCTTGTTCTCGTCGACTTCCTTGTCCTTCTCGACGTCTTTTTCTTCCTTGTCGGCTTTTTCCTTATCACCTTCTTTTTCTTCCTTGGACTCCTTGGTCTCTTTAGCATCTTCTTTGCCTTCCTTCTCTTCTGTCTTCTCGGGTTTCGGCAGATGCGTGTTCATGTCGAGGGTCGAGCAAATCTCTTCCCAGTCGGGGAAGCAACGTTCCTTCATCCTGGAGCAGTGGCCGACCAAGTTTGCGCAATTATCTTGCATATAATCGCGGAGAGCGAACGACACCTCCTTGTCGATGTACAAGATCTGCGCAAGGTTGGCGAACGCGACAACGTCCAGCTATAAATCACAAAAGTGAGAGCCAGCTCGTTAGTCATTCTACATATGTACTGTCTAAGTCATTATATTCGTATTAAGGTTTTGAGCTAAACCATTATCTCTGTGGCATACTTTAATTAAAGCAAAAAAGTTATGGTTTTTCATATCGGTAATCTTGTTCGCTTGGATTATAAGCGCAGAAACTTCTCCCGTTAATTCTTGAAGTGAGTTACACCGTGGAAAAGAAAAAGTGTGTGCGCGCGCGCGCGTACGTGTACGTGTGCATAGATACAAGACTATGGAAAATTTTTTTTGAGCACATCCACGGACCTTGGATAAAGTATCTCACTTAATTTACTCTTGATCTACTCTTGAATTTCAGAGTCGCGTTGTTAAATCCACTGAGGTCTGTCCGCGTACGCCAGGTGCCGCTCGCGACATTTGTTAATGAAAAGCGATACTGACCATAGTTGGCTCGTCGCCGAAGAAGAACGGCTTGTCGGCGAGCATGTCGCAGAGCACCTTGAGGTCGTCGCAGCCGAACTGAAGCACCTCCTCGGGCGTGTGCACGCCCATGCCCTGGGCCTTGACCTTCTTGGCACCCTGCAACCAATCCAACTAACTCTCACTTATGATGACCACCACGCTTCATTCTTAGCGAATTGTCGACACAATTTGTGCTCCGCTGACCAATACACTAAGCCCCCTTTCCCTCCGCACCACACGTCCCTTTCTTTTCTCATTCTACCTCACTGCTTCGTCCCTTTTCTTATCTTTCTCGTCGCTGCGTTTACGAGCCGTGCCGACGAATTCTTAAGTTTGCTGCGTTCTCAAAGAGACTTTCTCGACTTGAGAAAAGTCGATTCAACGAGAGTGCAGAAAACGTAGAAAGTTCCTTGTACTGTATAGGTCGACAGTAAGACACGCAGTGATACTACGTTAAAATGTGAGGTTTAGTATCATACAACAAAAATGTACTAGTAATAGTCTATTCTAGCCTCATGCTACAGCTAGCTAGCACGGTAACAATTCTTTGGTGCTAATTGTCAAAAATATCAAAAAAGTTATTCTGTTTTATCGACTCGTTTTACGTTATGCTATGAAAAAAACACTACACGGCAGATTTTGTAGATTGGAGCTGCTCGTTGTCACGCCTCTGCAAGTCGTTATCGAAATTTCACACTGGCGTGATACAAATCCAATTTACAATTCAGCGTGTGCCACAAGTCTACTGTTGTAATCAACAGTTCCACGCAAGGAGCAACCGAATCGTCGATAAAACAGAGCTCGTCTCTGTGAAAAGGAAAAAAAGAAAAGAAAAAGGAAAAGGCGCTCGAAAGAAGGAGCGAAAAAAAAAAATAAAAATAAAAATGAAGAAGTGGCAGTGGCACTCGGTATATGTCGGATAAAAGGTTCTCTTTGGTTTTGGTGCAACAAAAGTCTAAGGAAAACCATCGAAACAGAAAGCTCGCCAAGACTGCCGGTCGTCGGCCGATTCTCACCTTGCGTCCAAAAGTGAACTTGAAGAAGAAGTTTAGGATGCTGTTCGGGATGCGAGTGCCAAGGGTGTGCTGGAGATTGACCTTGTAGCCCTTGAGTATGAGGTCGAGGTTCTTGGTGCGCCAACACGCGACCACCCAGACCAGGTGGTTCTCGATCATCGATATCGTCGCGTGAGATATGGACTTCTGCTCGGTGCTCAGACATGCGTCGATGTCCTTGCCGAACTTCTGTCCCAGCTCGCGCAGTATGATCTTGCTGTCGGCGATCTCCTCGCCGTTCAGCTCGACGAACGGCAAGTTGCCCTTCTTCGAGCGGAACTTCATCTTGTGGTCTACGTTCTGCAACAAGAGGCAAGCGAGTTGACGCGCTGCCCCGTGGTCCGGGGCGAGCGCGTCGCGCGCGATATTCCCGGAAATCCCTCCTTTCACGCCGGATCGTCGGAATCCCAGACGTGCCACAACGCCGAACCACGGGTTATTTTGGAAAGCGCACGTTCGGCCGCCCCACGGCCACGAATATTTCTGCATAATGGCCATTCTTCCACCGCCTGTGGATATTTTTGGGAAACACGTGCGCGTAACCTAGCGGGGGGTGAGGGGAGGAGATCGTGAGACGCGGCTTGCTGCTGCTGCTGCAAGACGTTTGACGAATCGCGCACAACAGGGCCAAGATCGATGCGCGCACACGCCAGTCCTCGTGTGAAAAGCGAGAGTCGCAGCCGCGAAGCCAGCGCGACGTGGAGGGATGGCGTCACGCGTGCGTCTTGCCGATCGACGACGACGCCCTTCTGTCTCTCGCCTCGCTTCGTCCGCACTGGGAAATGGTTTTACTCGGAGTTCTCGTCGGCGCCCGCCCTCTCGGCGGCGAGCCAAGGGGACGCGGCGCGCCTCTCGCCGATCGCCAACGATTCGTCGGCGCTTCTCGCGACTCGAGCTGTTTGCCAGATATCATTGACAGATCGCAGTCCGTGACCGGCGGCAGAGAGGACGACGCTGAAAAGAAACGGGGCGGTGTTCCTCCCTGTTTCCATCTCTTTCTCACTATCTCTCTCTCTCTCTCTTGCGCGAGCATCGGAATGAAAAAATCGTTCGGCAGCAATAAAAGCCGGCGCGCATCAAGACATTTTGCGACAATGGAGAAAAGCACTGTACAACTGCACACAGCGCCGGCAGTAGGGATAAACATCGAGAGCGAGCGAGTTGAGGCCGATGAACTTCGATTCTCTCTCTCTCTCTCTCTCTCTCTCTCTCTCTCTCTCTCTCTCTCTCTCTCGCTCTCTCTCTCTCTCTCGAGCGCTCGCGGGCGCGCTCAGCTTCCGTCGCTTGGCAACACACGCATCCATCCCCTCCCCGCGCTTATTGATCGCGCGGGATGCTGCTCTGCTGCCGACGCGACGCGCCACGCCGACGCGATTTGTTCTTTTCGTTTCACGGGACGACCCCCCCCCCCTTTTTTTTCCGGTGGAACGACCGTTACTTCGGTTACACGAACGTCGGTAACGCGCGTTTTTTATTTATTTATTTCTTTACTCATAAAGCTGGAACGTCGTGTTCGAGCAATCGCGTTCACACTTTAATTAAGAATCCACTATCACTTTTTTCCTTTCGAATTTGACGAATGTGTCGCGGGCGGATGTATTCGAAAGATGCTCTCCCCCGACGGCATTCACGTTGGCGGCGACGGGGACGGTGCAATCGAAGGCTCGCGTTTGTTTATCGGTTTTTGCAGGCGGCTACCGATTTCCGGCGATAAGAGAGGCGAACGGGCGATGATTCGAACGAGATCTCCGCATCCGGCCGACGGCTGAATGGCTAGCGACGCGCGCTTTCAATTGGTTCGGGCGGCGGCCGCCATGGAATGCGCCCTCCCGTATATCCGCCGCGCCGCTGCAAATACTGGAAATAGGCAGGCGGCACGTCGGCACCGGTTCGCGATTTGGCGCGCGGTGATGCCACGGTGGCACCCGGCGACGAGGTCAAAGTATCCAGCCTCCCACCTCCCCACCCCCCCAGGAAACCGATGCGGACCGGCCGATGAATCGCCGACGACGCTCTGCTTCCCTCGCGCCGAACGGGTTGAGAGCGCAGGCAACTGTCTCCCGCGTTCTCGCCGAGCTGCACCTGCAACGCGCCAATCTTGTCTCCTCGAAATGGACGCGCAATGCAATTCCAGATACATTATTTTCCCGGCCCCTTAGATTTGTCTTTTCGCCGCGCGAGAGGGAGAGAGAGAGAGGGAGAGGCGCAATTGACGAGCGTTGCAGAAGTGAGAGGTTGTCGCCGGCGACGCCGAGTTTATTGCACCCGACATTCCTCGGCTATCCGCGAGAGCGCACGGAATTATTGCCGTTTAACCCTTCGCCGACTTTGTTTGTGCGCGCGCGAGGAAATCGGCGAGCCGCTCTCGTTCTTCGGTGATATCGACTCGAGTGGCTCGGCTCGCCGGCGCTGTTCCGGCGCGCGCGGAGTTGCGGACACCGGATCGGCGCAATCACTCTTCTCTATCTCTTTCTTTCTCTCTCTCTCTCTCTCTCTCTCTCTCTCTCTCTCTCTCTCTCTCTCTCTCTCTCTCTCTATCTCTCTCTATCTCTCTCTCTCTCCTCTCTCTCTCTCTCTCTCTCTCTCTCTCTCTCTCTCTCTCTCTCTCTCTCTCTCTCTCTCTCTCTCGTCGAATTTCAATCGGGGAATCCGGAACGCGTAAAAGAAATTAATTTCAAATCACCCGCATTCGTTTCCCGAAGGGAATCGTCGGCGGGGAAGGAGGAGAGCCACGCACTCGACCGAAAGCCACCACCCACACGTGACGGCGCGTGGGACTGACAGTCGGTCGATTTCATTGTGTAAATCGGCAGAGAGAGAGAGAGAGAGAGAGAGAGAGAGAGAGAGAGAGAGAAGAGAGAGAGGAGAGAGAGAGAGAGAGAGAGAGAGAGAGAGGAGAGAGAGAGAGAGAGAGAGAGAGAGAGAGAGAGGAGAGAGAGAGAGAGAGAGAAACGGATGTGTGCAATGGCAATTGGCTCCGGTCGGCCTGGAGAGCGCCCCGGACGACGCGGGACGTCAGCAGTTGGCCAATCATCGCGAGCAATTTGCGACGATTCCGCATGATTTCTGGAGAGAGGAGAGCCGACACTTCTGTTCTCGCGCGGGCGCGCGCTATTTGATATTTTTATCCGCTTACTTCGGCGGCGCCGAGAGGGAAGGGATAATAAGGCGCAATTGGGAGATTAATTAATCAAGAGAACTTGAATTGGACATAATGCAGCATGCCGAACCCCACCTCCTCGTACCCCACTGACGAAAGAATTCAAGTTCGGTGCGCGCGCGCGCGCAATTGGTTAATTACGAGCGACGAGTCATATTTTGATTCGACGAGCGGGGTGAACGAGGGTCGAGTCACGCAACTACCGAATGGCGTTGAAAACGAGCCGAAGCCGAGTAATCGACAAGTGCAGCGCGGCGATGGAAGCGGAGAAACGGCGCCTGCGTACCTATTGCAGGTCCGCCGAGGAAGGTGCGCACACGTTCGCCGACGCACAGGGGCAACGGATACCCGCCGCTCTTACGAGCGAGCAGGGCAGGGGCACTCGCCTGTGCCGTCCGCTTTGCATTCCAGCCGTACATCCGCGCGCGCTCGCAAGTCGGCAATCGCATCTTGCAGCGCGCGGCCCTCGGATTTGTCGCCTGGAGCCGAGATCGACGGTGGATCGCAAAGCGCTCGGAGGGTCCACGGTTCGCAGCCGAGCGCAACCGGCGAGGCCTACTTCGGCTTCTTCGGGCCGAGCTGCAGTTTAGGACTCGGCCGAGGCTGGGCCACGGCGCGCCGCTTGCAAAACTCGACGCCCACGGTAAACGCGCGCGCTTTCGGGGCGTACTGCGCAACGGCGGAGGAGCCAAGTGAGCGCATCTCTCTCTCTCCTCTTCTCGGATGGCGCAAACCGGACGGCGGCCGACGCAGCCCCGGCCGATTATTACGTGGCGCAATAGTTTTACGGGCGCGCGCGAGCTCGCCTCTCATTTTTTTCGGGGCGACGATTCGCGAACGGAATCGCCCCGGCGAAACAAACGAGCGAGCGCGCTGTCCCCGTTTCCTCTTTTCCTTTCCGCGCGGCGAAAGCGCGTCGGCGCAAAACGGAAAGAAAGCCATTAGCTGTTAACACGGTCGCTGACGGCGAGAGAGAGAGAGAGAGAGAGAGAGTTGTAACTCCCCTCCTCCGTCCTCCCAGCTGATTTTGCACGGCACTTCTTCCTGAATCGCGAAAACGACCGGCTTTGCCTTCGCCCGACGCGTTTATTTGCCATCAAGTTTGTCAATCGAAAGTGATGCCGTTTCGAGGAAGAAGACAGCCGTTCGGCGACCTTGGAGAGCGCCGAGTGTTTCTGCGCGTGAGCAACGCAAACAAGTGTGCGAGAGAGAGAGAGAGAGAGAGGAGAGAGAGAAGAGAGAGAGAGAGAGAGAGAGAGAGAGAGAGAGAGAGAGAGAGACGGACGATCGCGTTCACGTCAAATGCGCTGCAATGAGTTAAATAGTCAAATATCGAAGAAGAGTTCGACGGGCAAAAGGAAACGTACGACGGAACGTCGCTCGCTGCTGTTCGCGCGGAGACGCGCCGACAACGAGCAGTAAAGTTGCATCCGCAAGTCTATAGAAGGCAACACCGGAGGCGCGAGAGACTCGGCTTTATGAATGCCAATGCGCGTCGGCGACGAGCAGCTCGCGTGTGGAATGCAGCACGCACACTTGCGAAAGCCATGGCGCGTACCGTTCTTCGAAGGCCTTCGCACGAGAGCGACTGCTTGTTTACGTCTATTGTCACACTTCTCTCGTCGCGCCTATCCTACGACGACGCCAAAGAAAAAAAAAGTCGTCAATATCGAGGCGCGTGGCAACTCGTGCCTCGTCGCTTCTTTACCCCCGACGCAACGGTCGCGTGCGGGTCGCTTGGTCGTGGATCTCCGATCGCGTAGGTGACCCCCCCCCCCCCCCCCCCCCCAACTAGCTCTTCAAGAGGCCGCTCCAACGAGCGCGCATGATTTACGCGATAATTCCAGGGACGATTCGTCATCCGCCGATTTTTCGCGCGGCTTAATGGCTCTCGGAGAGCCAATTACGATCCGTCGAAAAATCCGGTGCATCTGGCTGGCTCTGACTCTCTCTCACTCGAGGAAATCTAAAGTAACTAATCGACATCGCGCACCCCCATAAATCATCCGTCAGCACGGAAGGCAGCGCGAGAGCTTGGCGCACCTGGGGCTCGCAACGCGAGCGACGCGAAGTCGGCGGCGCGAGAAGCAGCATCGGGGAGCCGTTTAATTGGACGGAGCGCGCGATAAGCGCTCCGTTC